CTTTCCCCATCAAAACTGGTTCAGGTTTCGATCAGGTCAGCCCTAGGAACTTCCTCCTGCTCCCTGATGCGGCGCTCGAGTTGCTCTGTGGCATCATTGCGCATATAGAGCAGCACTTGGTCTGGCCGCGTGTGTGCAGCAGAATCGTTTTCAGCATGCAACGCCTCGGAGGTGTGCGACCTCTGGGACTGCTGCGCGTGCTTTGCCGTCTTCAGTGTCGTCTCCGTCGGCCGCTTATCAGCGCGTGGCGAAAGCGTAACTCCCGTCACTTTTGGTGGTCTACCAAGGGGCGTTCTGCGGAGAAGTGCGTATGGATATCCAGTGCCTGGTCTGAGTACTGCACTATTCGGGGTCACTGTTCAGGGACTATACTTCTGGACCTCAAGAAAGCCTCCGGGCATGTGCAGCATCATCATCTTTTGCAGGCAGCCATAGACACACACTTCCCGTTCTGGCAGCTTCGCCTCTTGATAGATGTTTACCGAGCGCCGCGCGTGCTGGATCTTCAAGGGGTCTGCAGTGACTTCATCGAGGTGCAGCAAACGGTTGTGTACCAGGATGCACGTTTGCTACGTTGATGCTACAATTGGTACTGCTAGGCCCCCTTGATAGAGTCCAAGCGGCGCATCGCTCAGTTGTGCTGGCCGTCGACGTGGATGACTTCTCCCTCCGGCGCTTCGGCGGCGAGGAGCGCGTGGGAAACGAGCTCCAGCAGTCAGCCGCGTCACTAGTCTCTGAATTGCACAAAGTGGACATGCAGCTCACTGTAGATGAAGGCAGGGCGCTAAGCAATTCGCAGAAACTTCGGCTTCGTCTCGCTCGCAACCTTCGGCATCTTGGGATTCAGGCCGCTGTTGCCGAGCGCAACCTGGGGGTCGACTTCGCTGCTGGCAAAGTGCGTCCTAGGTGCGCCACGGCTGCTCGCTTCAGGGTCAACAAAAAACGTCGAGCTCGCATGTCTGCTTTAAAGTGGAGCCGACCTCGAAGGAAGCTTCTAGGTCAGATGAGTCGAGCGGCGCTTGAGGACGCCACCTCCTTTGGCACGGCCGTCGCTGGAGTCTACGGCAAGGAGCTCAACGCACTCCGCAGTTTATCAGGCAAGCTTCAGGATCATAAGCAAGCGGGTAGGAGCTTCACTCTGTCCCTCATGCTGGCGCCGACCAAGGACCTCGATCCCATCATCAGGGCCACGTGGTTGCCCGTTAAGTTATTCCTGCTGTGCCTGCATGAATCTTGGATGCCCCGTCAGGCTTTAGATGCGAGTCCCAGGCAAGTTGATGCCCGCCTCAGCCTCTTGAAGTACCCCTGGGGCTCCATAGCAGGACCTTTCACTACTCTCTGGGCTTCTCTTCATCGGGTTGGAGTTCGAGCTCGTCCTTTGGATGTCTGGAGTTTTCCTGAAGGTCGAGTTCTGAACATTTCTGAGGCCTGCCCGTATGTAGTCAAGCAGCATGTGATGCGAGCAGTTTACCTTTGGCAGTGCGCGAAGATAGCCGAGCACGTTGAAGCATCCGAATTTTGCACCGGTGTGCTCCTGTCTCCCATCTTAGCTCTTTTGCGCTCCAAGGCTCTGCCGCAGCACCGTTCGCATGTGCGCTCGGTCGCGATTGGAGCCCAGTGGCCAATGGCGAGGCAGTGGAAAGCTGGCTACCCTGTGGACCCCAACTGCGTAGCCTGCCTCGCCGCTGGCCCCCTCAAGCTAGGCACGCTCACGCACAGGCACTGCAATCGTGCGCAGCACGCCCTGCAGCTCGAAGAGCCGCATGTCTTGCGTCAGTCTCTCGGCGAAGCCGCCAGCAACGGAGGTCCCCCGCAGCTGCTCGCCGAGAGATGTTTACACCGATGCCGTTTTTGGAGCGCCCCTCTTTTCCTGACCCCCCTCCTCTGCTCTGGGCCCACGGGTCCCCTGATCGGCTCACGGGAGACGTTTTCCTGGATGGCTCGATTTTTGAAGGGGGCATGGGACCCTGGGCCTCTGGGGGCTGGGCTGCGGTTGCTTCGTCCAGAGGCGCCCGCGCCCTCCGCGAGGTCTCCGCTCTGATGTGCGGCCCGCTCTTCTCAGAGTTTCCCACCGTCAATGAGGCAGAGTTGACTGCTCTGCTAGAGTGTCTTAAGCATCCGTGTCCGCCCCTCGTTCTGCACACCGATTCCAAATATGTCTTCGACAGTGTGCTGTCCAGGGGCCGTTTGCGCACCACTCAGGCGCTAGACACGCATTGTTTTTTTTTGGCGCGAGGTGCGCGCTTGGCTCGAGGATCGGGGGGTCGACGCGTCGGAGCTGTGTGAGGCGGTTCGCTTCGTCAAGGTGCCTGCCCACTCCTCGCGCGCGGATGTCCGATCGGGTCGCGTTGCGACTCGTGACAAGTTCGGCAACGACATGGCCGACCGCCGCGCCAAGCGGGCGGCCCAGGCCTTCCGCGTGCCGCCGCCGCAAGCCGCCGCCGTCGCCTCCAGAACCGTGGTTGTCAAGTCCTGGGTGAAGTGGGCGGGCAAGGTGGGCGAGGACCTCCCCGACTCCTCCCACCCTCCCTCGCTCCAGCGCGGTAAGCTTCCCACCCCGCAGCTCCTGCTTGTGCAGGGGGCCCTTCCCCGGGACATTGTTTCGCGTGCTGCCGAAGCTTCCCAGGCCCTCAGTGCTAAGGGTGAGAGGCCTCATGCTCTGGTCAAGTTCTCTCTCCAGGATGATGTCGTCCTGGTCGGTTGTTCTCGCTGCGGTGTCATCTCGTCGTCTCGCCTTTCCAGTCTGTCTTCGAGTTGCTCAGGGAGTCTTCCTGTCTGGGCCAAGAATATCTGGGACAGGCTCAGACGCAGAGAGTATCGGCACACTGCAGCGGGTTCCTCTCGAGTTCTCAGAGTGCTGGCCACTAAGCCCGTGCCCTAACTCGTTCGGCTTCGCCTTCGGCTGCTCGTCGGAGGATATTCGGCTCGCAATGTCTTGCGCAGGAGGAGGAGGAGGAAGAGGAGGAGGAGGAGGAAGAGGAGGAGGAGGAGACGGAGGAGGAGGAGGAGGAGTGGGAGGGGGAGGGGGAGGTGGAGGAGGAGATGGAGGAGGGGGAGGGGAGGGGGAGGGGAGGTGATGGAGGAAGAGAGGAGGAGGAGGAGGAGGAGGAGGAGGGGGGAGGGGGAGGAGGAGGAGGCCGGGTCGCCGAGACCCTTCGAAGAACAATCTTCCAGGCCGTGGGAGGAAGGCCCGGCCCTGGCGTGCGGGCCCGAGGGTGCCACGGTCGCTGGCGCGGCTCGGCGCAGGCCGAGCGTCGCCGCAGTCCTTGGGCCCGCACGCCCGCGGCGCGCGGCGGCCGGCCGGCGGGCCTGCCACGGGGCCGCTTCCCAAGCATTCAAGCAGTGGCGAAGCGTCCCGGCTCGCCCATAGCCCCGCTAAGCAATGTTCTAAGAACCTGTTGTGGTTTCCACGAAATGTTCTTCGAACATTTCTGGCCGATTTTTCTTTGTTTGAACATATCGGGCTTACGTTCAAAGAACATTGTTTTTGTTATTCGAACATTGTTGGGTTCTAAGAACACTTCGTGGTAGGACTACCAAGAATGCTGGGACGGTCGGACCCTGCTCAAAGCATTCGCCCGCCACGGCTGATGTCGATGGCGAGCAGGCTGCACGACGCCTAGCCGCAGTCGCGCGAAGCGCGTCAAAGGTGTGGAAAAATCGGGCCACGCAAAGCCTAGCCGGAGTCTGAAAGCAAAGCCAGGCAGGGCGACCAGCAGCCGAGGAGGAGACTACTGGCCGCCGCACTGGTCCTGGCCCCCGTCTGTGTGCCAGGGGGGGGAAAAAGTCCCCTCCCGAGTCGAAGGCGGTTGCCAAGTCGCCAATCGCAGTCGGGCGGAGGGCCACCTCTTCTAGGGGTCCGTAGCCTTGCAGGCGTCCCCCCTCGTGTCTTTCGGCGGGGGATGGACTCGGACTCCGCCCTTCCTTTTCCTGCTCCTGCTCCTCCTCCTCCTCCTCCTCCTCTTGCTCCTCCTCTCTTCGCAGGCGTCGTCATCGTCGTCGTCATCGTCGTCGCTGTTGCGCGGCAGGACGAACAAGGGCTCCCACGAGGGCGCGAAGTTATTCGCGCTTCGCGCTTCGCAGTCCTCCTTCCTCCTCCCCCTCCTCCTCGTCCTCCTCTTCTCCCCCTTGGGGGGCGGCGCGAGAGCGCGAAATTATTCGCGCTTCGCGCTTCGCGCAGCGCGAAGCGCGAACTTAGGAGCCCTTGACGAAGATGAATCACTATTTTCGGATATTGGTGGGACCGCAATCCTTCTATGAGGGCGTCGGAACACGAATTCCTTCCCACTGTTCGGGTGAGGTAAGAGGGGGTGGCCTCCATGGGGGTGAAGCAAAGGGCCCAGAAAAAAGGAGACTTTGCGGATTTTGATGTTCTAACCTACTTTAGCCTTCGACCACCAGAGAGAATTTCGAGCACCAGAAAAATCCCGAAGCTCTGTTTTTTTCACGTGCCGGGCCCTGGGAGACACTCGAGTCCGACGCTGTTTCGACACTGTCTCGACACTCGTCCGGGTTGCTCGAGATCATTTCTGGGCCGTGGTCCTCCAGGACGGCGGGAGCAGCACAGCTTTTGGGTCTCCTTTGGGGCCCCGTCCGCCCGAGGGGGGAGGAGGAGGAGGAGGAGGAGGAGGAGGAGGAGGAGGAGGAGGAGGAGGAGGAGGAGGAGTCGGAGGAAGAGGAGGAGGAGGAGCAGCAGCGCCACAAGGGGCCCACATGAACTCGTCTCGGCCTCGTCCAGCCCTCGGCGGAGGCCAGCGGTGCAGCGCAGCGGCGGAGGGCCCGCAGGAGGAAGAGCCCGGCGGAAGCCAGGGGGGGGGGAGAATCAAGCAGTGGCGAAGCGTCCCGGCTCGCCTAGAGGCCTACCAAAGGATGTTCGAAGAACCGTGTGTGGTTCCCACGGGAAGTTCTCAGAGCATGTTCGGCTGGGACCCTCTCGTTTCGACACACCGGATTTGTGTCCTCAGAGCCTTGTTTCTGCTCTCAGAGCATTTTGTGGGTTCTGGGAACACTTCGTGGTAGGACTACAGGAACGCCAGGACGGTCGGCCCCTGCTCAAAGCATTCGCCCGCTTCGGCGGATGTCGATGGCGAGCAGGCTGCACGACGCCTCGCCGCCGTCGCCGGCCACGCAAAGCCCAGCCGGAGTCAGAAAGCGAAGCCAGGCAGGGCGACCAGCAGCCGAGGAGGAGACCACTGGCCGGAAGGCGTCGGCGGGGAGCTCGGCGGGAGGCGTCGGAGGGAGCAGCGAGCCTCGGCGGCGGAGTGCGAGCCCCACCCTCGCCGGGCTCCGCGCCTCTTGCGGGCCTGAATGGCGTCAGCCATGGCGTCCCCTCCCCCCCCCCGACAGAGCGAAGCTTGAGCGAGCTCCCCGCCCCCCCCTTCCCCTTCCCGGGCCTGAATGGCGTCAGACATGGCGTCAGCCCTCCCTCCTCCCGACAGAGCGAAGCTTGAGCGAGCTCAAGCCCACGCTCTCAGAAACTCACACGCCGGATCGGCGGATTTGTACGGACGGCACGCGTGCGAGCCAAGTCCGCGTGGGTGGCCCCAGCGCTGATCCGAGAGATGCGCGCAGACCTCCAACAGTTTCTGCTTACAGTTGAGGCCCATGCCAAGACACACCCTGCTTGCCTCCAGGGTGCCCTGGGTTTCCTGGGTTTCGGTGGTTCGGCGATGCAAAGCGTGACGCTCCCACACCGAAAATCAATTGGGGTCTCAAGGTTGGGCTTCTTGTGGAAGGTTTCTTGTGGGCTGGCCTCCACTGTATGCAGATGTCTGTCCCCCGATTCCCTCAGGGCTGAGGCGGCGGAGGATCAGCCGCAGCGCTGGGAGGCGCCTGATGCATCGTTCATGTCGACAAGCGCTGCACTCTCGGGGACGCACACGTTCTGGCTCAAGCCACCGGGTCTGCACTCTCGGGGAACAGCCTGCCCCGCCCACCGACGTTCTAAGCGAACCCACGGAAGCCCTCGCGATGCTCAAGGGCGTGCAGTTCGCAATCGTTACCTTCATGGCTCTGGTGGTCGCTCTCGCGGCCGCCGACTCGCCGGGCATGGTTGCCGGGCTCCACGAGGCCGTCGCGGGCCAGGACGATAGCGAACTCGGCTCGGGCCGCTTCATGGCCGCGATGGTGAGCCTGGGAGGCATGGCGCTGCTGGGGTCCAACTTGGCTCCTGCGGTGATCCTCAACTTCTGAGCTGCGTCGCCGACAGCACCAGCCTTCGACGCTGGCTGGGCTGCTCTGTCAGTCCAGCGGGGTGCGGGCTTTCTGCGCCGGCGACCAGCAACTGGCGCGCCTTAGCACAATGTACGCTTTGGTGCCCCCACGCTTCGTTTTCCCCTTCCTCCCCCTCGTTTCCTTTGGGGGAGCGATCGTTCCGCCGAGAGGTTGTTCCATGCGAGGGGGTGCAGGAGTTGTCCGCCCCTGCCTCGGTAGAGATCTCCATGAAGCGGTGCGCGAGAAGAAAGTCCTCGTGCTGTCGGGGCGCGCTTGCTCCCAGGACCGTCGAGCCCAGCCAGGGTCCATCGTGGGCCCCGCATCGGTGCACGAGAGTGAGCTTTTTGCGTTCTCCTCCCCAGGGCAACGCTCGTTGCCTGGGCTGGGCTCCCTCCCCCCACCCCCCTGGGCAACGCTAACGACACAGACATGCGACGTCCTGTTTGCTTCATTGCGGGGTCCCCGCATTGACAAATATCAGGATGTCGCATGTCTGGGGGGAAGCCCCGAGCCTTTCCCAGGGACCGGTTTTTCGTCCTGAGTTCGGGGCCTAGGAGACGGGGGTCAGTGCAAACGGGGGTCAGCCAGGGCACCGGATCCTGCAGGATCCTGCGAAGACCCCCTCTGGCTGACCCGGGTTAGCGAGCCGCTCGTGGCCGCGAGGCGGCCGCGCCTATTGGCTGACCCGGGTTTGCGAAGACCTGCGCTGCAGTTTTTTTTTTGTTTTTCCTGAATTGCAGTGTTTGGTTTCCTGCTGACCCGGGTCTGCGTTGACCCGGGTCAGAAGATCCCCGATGAGTCGTTTTGCTGACGGTCCCGAGGCCTGGCGAGGCCCCCCCCCGAGGCCGAAATTGACCGAAAACCTCCCGGCCTGATTTTTGTACGACGCGATCATGTCTGGGGAGCGTACTGGGGGTGGTGGCCTGGACCCCCCCCCTGGGGGTGGTAACGAAGCGGTGCTCGACCAAACATGCAGTATGCTGCCAGGGCGTGGTTGCTCACGGGTTATCGCTCCTGGCCGGGCCCGTCGCGAGCAAAGGATCGGTGCATGACACCCTCTTGTGATGCCCTCCCGGCCTGGCCAAGAGTGCATGTCCACCGATCTTGGATCCTGGCCCCAGGACATGCCTGCCCCAGTTCGGGGCAGGAAGTCAGGTCGCGCTTCCCGGACAATGGGTGACGTGCGGGGGGTGTTGAGCATGAGCATGAGGCGTACACGCCATTCCGGCGACGCCCAGAAGAGGGGAGGTGTAGCATCCGATGTCGTATGTAGTGTGTGTGTGTGTGTGTGTGTGTGTGTGTGCCGTTGTCCGTCGTGCTACCTGCGTGCAGGTGCTGCTGATGTGTCCTCCTCTTCCTCCTCCTCCTCCGCGTCCGCTGCGGGGCCCCTTTCTCAGGGGCGCCCTCCTGGGAGCCTCTTCAGGGCTCCTGGGACCTTTGCGGACACCCTAGAGTCTCCGACCGCGTTCCACTACTCGCAAAGTGCCTGGTCGCAAACATCCGAGAAAGCAAGTGCCTGCCTCGATGCAATGGATCGTAAATCCCCCGCGTCAGATCCAGGCCGTTTGCGAGTAGTGATTTTGCGAGTCGTGGAACGCGCTTGCTCATCAAGGCTTGAAACTTCTCCTGAGAGGTGCTGCGCTGTCTTTGTCTGTGGCGCGGTTCTGTCCCTCTTGCCTGCCGGCGCTCACCCTCTCGCGTCTCTGCGTGGATCCCCGCCCCGTTCGTGATTTGGCCAGCCTCCCCCCTTGCGGAGCGCGCTCCAGGCCATGAAGCGAATGGGGCACCGAGGGAATCGGGCCCTCAGGGTGTGTATGCGCAGTGTGTGTGTGTGTGTGAGTGGGTGAGTGAGTGAGTGTGTGTGTGTATGTGTGTGTATGTCTGTATTCGTGTGTGAGTGTGTCTGTGTGTGTTTGTGTGCAATGTGTGCAGTGTGTGTGTGTGTGTGTGTCTGTGTCTGCGTGTGTGCGTGCGTGTGTGTGTGGTTGCGTGTGTATGTGTGTGTGTGTGTGTGTGTCTGTCCGTGTGTGCAGTGCGTGCAGTGTTTTCAGTGTGTGTGTGTGTGTGTGTGTGTGTGTGTGTGTGTGTGTGTGTGTGTGTGTGTGTGTGTACGTGCATCCCGCGCGGCAGCTGCTTCTCGACCTTCTCCGCCCCGTCGCCGCCGCGCAGGGCCGCGGCGCCAAACGCGTGCGCGCGCCTGCGTGTGCGTGCGTGCCGCGCCGTTCTCTCGCTGCCCCCCTCCGGGGGCCCTCCCTGCGGGGGCCCCCCCGGGGAGGAACGCCCCGTGCCGAGACCTGCGGAGGCCCCGCGGGAGGGGAGCCCCCGAGGGTCCCAGGGCCTCCGAGGTCCAGGGAGCCGAGACCTGCGGAGCCCCCCATTCTTTCCACCTCGGGCGCCCTCGTTCGGCTTCGGGCCACGGAACCCTCACGGATCGATCGGGCTCGAGAAACTGGCGCCGAGCGATGGGGTCCAGGACTCCGGGCGTGGTTTTTCACGATGCTGCACTGTGTTCGAGACGTCGGATCTCAGGGACCAGCCTGTCGCTGAGCCTGCGACCGCTGGCGAACCCTGGCCCCGTACGGATCCGATCGACGCCAGGCCATCTCAGAGGAGGGAAAGGTACGGTCGGACCGAGGCATAAGATCGAGATCGGTTCGGGGAGGGTGCTCTAACGATTGCCGTGCTTGTTGGATGTTCTTCGTGCAATTTGGACGAGGGCATCGTCGAATGTGCTTCAGTTTGGGCTGGCGGAGGGTCTCGAGTTCTCGAAGGATGTTCTTCTGTCCTAGGTCCGGCGGTACGGTAGCGCGCCGGCGACGCCAGCGACGCCAGCGAAGGCGTTCAAGGTTGAATTCTGCGACGCGGAGGCACCAAGGGACACGGTAAGGCCACAGGACACGACGGAATTCAACCTTGAACGATCGGGGCTGCGTTCGATTCAAGGTGGAACAATCTGCGCGGTGGTAAAAACTTTTGAGCGCGCCGACGCCGCACGAATCTACAGTCCAATACCACTACCCTTCCATCGTTTTCGCTTTTTGGGACCTCCTGGGAGGACCTCGTCGCCACCGCTGGGTTCGCTTCGAAATTCGGGTCAGAACGCACCCCAGGCGAGGTCTGAGGAGTAGCGGTATTGCATTCATGCCGCTTGGGTTCCCCGGTATCGGACCCCCCGCTGCGGTTCATTTGGCCGCAGCCATCGTTCAAGTTCAAATTCTGAGCCCCGGGCCCCAGCCTGCGTCTCAAAGTTCAGACTTGCTGGGGTTAGGGCTCACGTGTGGTTTCCCATTCCCATTCATGCAAAGATCCCCCGACTGACAAAACCCGTGGCGATGCGCAGCACGCTCGGTCCCAGCGCCTCTGAGTGCGACCGCAAAAGAAAAGGGTCCGATGCGGGCCCCTAGGACTCGAGGTGCCTGGGGCTATCAGATCAGATCGAGGCTGCCGCGGTTTGTATGTCTGGGCCTTTGGAGGCCAGGTCTAGGGCCGATTAGGGCCTGCGGAGGCATGGTGGGTGTTGTGCGCCCTTCCCTCTCAGGGTCGCCTCAGGCCTGCGGCGCCACAGAAAAAGTCTGATCAATGCCGCCAGCGTAGGCCTTCGGAGGCCCGAAGCGGTCCGCGGCGCGACGTCGACTGGAAAAGGATAAGGGGTCGAGGGCTCCCACGGTTGAGGTGGAGGTGGAGGCGGCGGAGGATCAGCCGCAGAGCTGGGAGGCGCCTGATGCATCGTTCATGTCGACAAGCGCTGCACTCTCGGGGACGCACACGTTCTGGCTCAAGCCACCGGGTCTGCACTCTCGGGGAACAGCCTGCCCCGCCCACCGACGTTCTAAGCGAACCCACGGAAGCCCTCGCGATGCTCAAGGGCGTGCAGTTCGCAATCGTTACCTTCATGGCTCTGGTGGTCGCTCTCGCGGCCGCCGACTCGCCGGGCATGGTTGCCGGGCTCCACGAGGCCGTCGCGGGCCAGGACGATAGCGAACTCGGCTCGGGCCGCTTCATGGCCGCGATGGTGAGCCTGGGAGGCATGGCGCTGCTGGGGTCCAACTTGGCTCCTGCGGTGATCCTCAACTTCTGAGCTGCGTCGCCGACAGCACCAGCCTTCGACGCTGGCTGGGCTGCTCTGTCAGTCCAGCGGGGTGCGGGCTTTCTGCGCCGGCGACCAGCAACTGGCGCGGCTGGGTACGTTTTGGTGCCCCCATTCTTCTTTCTCCCCTTCCCCTCGTTTCCTTGTAGGGGAGCGGTCGTTCCACCGAGAGGTCGTCCATGCCAGGGGCCGCAGGAGTTGTCCGCCCCGGTCTTGGTAGAGATCTCCATGAAGCGGTGCGCGAGAAGAAAGTCATTGTGCTGTCGGGGCGTGCTTGCTCAAGGACCATCGAGCCCAGCCAGACCAACCGTGGGCCCCGGATCGGTGCATGATACTGGGCGCTGTTGTTTTCCTCCCCACGGTAACGCTCGTTGCCCGGGCCAAACGCCCTCCTCCCCCCCGGGGTAATGCCAACGATCGTGCTGAGGGTGGTGGCCTGGACCCTCCCCTCTACGTGCCGGTGTGCACACAGGCGATTGATGCGCCGGCGGACGCGCCCCGACGGGTGCACGCCGCGGCCGCCGTTACCATTACCCTCCCGCCCGACCCCCCCCTTGGGTAACGATTGTTACCCGGGAAGGACAAGAGGAAACGCTCACAGACAGTCAACCCGCATGGTAAGGATGGGCAGCCTTCCCAAGGGTACCCTGGCATCCATGCCTCCTCGGCCCATCCTGGGCCACTGTCGTTGGCCGCGCCCCTCTCGAGAAGCTTCGAAGTGGGCGCCCAAGGCCCTTGCATCCTTAGCGCGCATCCTTGTGGTACGGGCCGAGTGTGCCTTCCCGTCTGGGCCAGGTGGAGGGTCTCTTCGAGGGGCTTGGGCGACCCCTCCTTCTCCTCCTCCTCCTCCTTCTCCTCCTCCTCCTCCTCCTCCTCCTCCTCCTCCCCCTCCTCCCCCTCTCCACCTCCTCCTCGTCCTCCTCAACCTCCTCCTCCTCCTCCTCCTCCTCCTCTCATCCTCCTCCTCCTCCATCCTCCCTCCTCCTCCTCCATCCTCCTCCTCCTCCTCCTCCTCCTCCTCCTCCTCCTCCTCCTCCTCGTCCTCGTTCTCCTCCTCCTCCTCCACCTCCTCCTCCCTCCTCCCTCCCTCCTCCCTCCTCCCCCTCCCTCCTCCTCCTCCCTCCTCCCTCCTCCCTCCTCCTCCCTCCTCTCCCTCGTCCTCCTCGTCCTCCTCCTCCTCCTCCTCCTCCTCCTCCTCCGCCTCCTCCCTCTCCTCGTCCTCCTCCTCCTCCTCCTCCTCCTCTTGTCCTCCTCAACCTCCTCCCTCCTCCTCCCTATTCCCGTCCTC